AGAAGAGGACTGTCGCTCGTTCTGGAGCACATGTCTAGATTCAGATCATGCCCTAGTGCGAGCGCGTATTTGTTTGAAGCTTACTGGGCGTAGGAAAGACACCGTAAGAAAGCCTCTTAGGGTTTTACTTAATGATAATAAGGCGAAAAATATATTTCAGGAACAACTAGAAAGACAGTTAGGCGGCCATTTAAGCGATTCCCATCCGGAAGCAGGATGGAATGATATCAAAAAGGCTGTGGAAACAGCAGTGATATCTGCTAGTAAGGTTGACCATAAGGCTAGAATGAAACCGTGGATCTCAGCAGCATCCACCGATCTGATGGATGCCCGAAAACTCATCCCACCTGGCTCTGAACATGATGAAGAACGAAGTCAACTTAGGCGCAGACTTATAAAAAGCCTACGTAATGATCGCGAACAGTGGTGGGTGGCGAAAGCAAAAGCGATGGAAAAGGCAGCGGCGATCGGCAACAGTAGACAACTTTTCCGACTTATCAAGGAAACTGGTATTAGGAATCCTAGTGTGAGACTATCTCAGAAAATAACGGGACTATTATTTATTCTCAATCCAGGAAACTGGATCGATGGGCAGAACACTTTAGGGATCAGTTCAACTGGCCTCGAGCCACTCTTCAGTTACCCACGATCTCCAGTCATCCTGAATGGCAAATCGACGTAAGTCCCCCTAGTCTTAATGAAGTTGAAAAAGCGTTAGGAAATTTGAAGCGAGGACGAGCTGCAGGACCTGATAGACTGACCCCTGAGATATTTAAGGATGGTGGTCCAGTTTTAACAGCTAGATTGACTGAGATCTTAGGTAGAATCTGGGAACTGGACGTAATCCCATCCGACTGGTCTCAATCACTGATTGTCCCAATCTATAAGAAAGGACAGAAGTCTTCTTGTGACAATCACAGAGGAATAAGTCTAACTAATATAGTATCTAAAATATTGGCCTCAATAATACTTCGACGCTTAACGAAAGCTCGTGAAGAGCAGACTCGAGAAAACCAGTCTGGTTTTCGACCTGGACGTGGCTGTATAGACCACATCTTCACACTCAGACAGGTCCTGGAACATAGACACACATTTAGGCGTCCTACAATAGTTGTTTTCCTAGACCTTAAGGCGGCATTTGACTCTGTGAGTCGTGAGGTTCTGTGGCAGTGTCTGTCATTGAAAGGTGTACCAAATAAGTACATTAACCTCATACAAGCTCTCTACTCGAACACCACTGGTCGAGTGAGAGCTTATGGCGAACTGTCACCGGAATTCTCTACTTCAAGTGGTGTCCGTCAGGGATGTCCACTCTCTCCATTCTTGTTTAATTTTATCATAGACATGCTCCTAGAAATAACCTTATCCTCGTCTGAATTTTCAGGAGTAGACCTTTTACCGGGTGGCTCGCTAATTGACTTAGAATATGCCGATGACATAGTCCTACTTGGTGAAGACGCTGACAAAATGCAGAGTCTTCTGACTACTCTAAGCAACAATGCAAGCATGTTCGGGATGCGGTTTTCCCCCTCGAAATGCAAAATGTTGCTTCAAGATTGGGTGTCATCGGCACCTGAACTAGTGATAGGGAGTGAAGTGGTCGAACGTGTAGACCGCTTCACTTATCTTGGGAGTCTCATCAGTGCTGATGGCCTGATGACTGACGAAATCTCGGCACGGATACAGAAGGCTCGATTGGCTTTTGCCAACCTGCGTCACTTATGGCGTAGGCGAGATATCCGTTTGCTGACTAAAGGACGAGTGTACTGCGCAGTGGTTCGCTCCGTCTTACTTTATGGCTGTGAAACATGGCCAATGAGAGTAGAAGATACTCGTCGGTTATTGGTTTTCGATCATAGGTGTCTTCGAAGCATTGCTCGTATATCGTGGGACACCCGAGTGAGCAACGCTGTTATTAGGAAACGGGTACTAGGTAAGAATGGCAGATCAATCGATGAAGTGGTGAAACTTCATCAGTCGAGGTGGTTGGGACACGTGTTGCGTATGCCTAACCACCGACTGCCTCGTCGAGCTTTGTTTTGTAGTGTAGGAATAGGCTGGAAGAAAGCTAGGGGCGGCCAGACCAAAACATGGCAGAAATCCATGAAGTCATTGACAAGTGGACTTAGCCATGTCGGTAATAGTCGACTACCTGGTTGGGGTCCGCGAGATGATAATAATCGATGGCTAGAGACCTTGAATGACATGGCTCAAAATCGTTCGCAATGGCGCCAGTGCATTTATTCTTTGTGTTCTCTCAAATCCTAATCTTCTGGATTCTTCAACATCTCTAGTGTTTACTTTCTAAACTTATCTCATTGAATCATACTTTGTGAATAATATCTTCTAATTCTAACCTCTCCGATTACTTCTAATACCTTTACTACCTCTTCTACTATTGGATTTGAATTGACAATTACATCTCTGTGTGTTGTGATGTGGTATGGCGACATGAACTGATGTACTTACGTACGAAGTTCTACGTTGCAACTGACTGACTGATATATATATATATATATATATATATATATATATATATATATATATATACCGTATTTTTTGTGGTGTTTCGTTCTCTGAGCTGGATGTTTGGGCTGTGGAGCTCTCATTGTTCTGAACAACATCATCACAAACTTCAGATAGAAGTGAAGTATTCGAATTTCTCCACGTTTTATTCGAGGTTAACAGAACAAGCTACGTATCCATAAAGGGGATACTAATACAAGTAATTTACAGATTTAAGAGCTTGTTCCACATCGTTGTCGTTTAGCGGTCGCTGATCTCAAAATATATGCAGTTCATTACTCAATGATAGCTTGTGTTTATTGTCTATTTCAGTTCCTTCACACAGTATAATTTTATTCTGCATCTTCATTCTTCATCTGAAGCGAAAATAGATGGTACTATTACTTGTATGCAAAAGTCTAACATATTTGTGCTGTTAAAGATCCTCGATGTTTTCAATTTTTCCGCTTTTTCATCCGGGCTTCATTAAAGATTAGTAGTATATAGGGAACGGCTATAAATAGGTTTCATTCGTCTCACGTTGAAACGTAGAAACCCGGGTCTCTCTTGATAACAAATGAAATTTTAAATACAGCGATTGGGAAATAAGATGATAATAGTGCTATAATAGAGTAAGTCACAACAAATATTTCTATATCTAGTTGGAATTTCGCATAAATGTTTATCTTTAAAAAATTGTAGGATTTGTTTGAACAGTTTTGTGATTAGCATAAAAATTAGCAGATCCATTTATTACTTCACCTTGTGAAAATATTCAAATGGTTTCATATCCCTGACATATTTTCATCTGGTATAAACTGAATAATATCAAGTGATGCAAACATTAGTAAAGCGTTCGTTAATATCACTTTCTCACTAGATGTTTACTAGCATAACCAGCTTCGAAGTGAAGCTTAATGATACATGTTGAGTTGATAGGTTTAGTCTTGTAGAGAAATTAAAAGTGGATAATGACTTTCTTACAGTTCACTACCTAACTTTTGTGAATTACTTTTGTTGTAGTATTTATTCTAAGTTCGCTAGAATTTCCCGAATTCTACATTTTCTAATTTCAAGACAATAAACCTTATCCAATTAATTATTAGCAGAGGTCTATTGCTGTCCTAAACATCAATGAGAAGATTCAAACAATCAAAGCAAATGAATTATCTAATTAAGTTTACTCGTTTGGTACAAAAAAGCACTTGTCATCAAATCAATTATTATTATGTCACAACGAATCTGAACGCGTTTCTAATGTTACATTGTTTTGAATTTTGGCTCTGCAAACTTGCTTTAGTATTTCTTTGTACGTAGTTTGCTTCTCTATTTCGGTTGCAATATTAACACATATGCGTATACATAAAGACATATTTTGTCTAAACGGTTAAAACTACCTCTTAACGAATGTTATTCGTTGAACTCTACTTCATTCTGTACATTTTCTATCCTTATTTAGTAACTTGGTATATTCAGAATTTCATATTTCATCACAATATATGTGCATTGATTCTTATTAGAAATAATTCAATTGACACGCACTTATTATGTAAATTTTATTTGAAATTTTTCAGTACAAGAACGTTTAGAGAAATTCGAAGATGGTGATCATTCAGAAACAACATTAGTAAAAAAATGTGAGTCTTAAATTCTGATAAATCCTAGATCTTTCCACCAGTTTCCGAAAGGGTCCTTTTTGTACTATATTCTTATGGTTTCCATTTATAAAGAATTCAGCTGATGAAGTAGGAACCATCCATCGTCTGCATAAGCTTTCACCTACTACAGGTCAGTAAAAATATAACATGTGGCGTGATATGGATCCATTATGAAGATGGAAGTAATAACTCTATCTAAAGATTACTTGAAACTATCCCACGTTATCTGAGTCCTCAGAAGCAAGAGTAATGGTGTTAGTAACCATGTATGATTTCGATGGCAAGCGTGTTATTAGTCTTCAGAATTGCCCAAGGTGTTATATTGAACACTTTAAGAATAGTCTAATTTACTAGTTGTCACATTGGCATCGATCACACAATTTTGTGCTCTATATTCGATGAGTACTGGTCAACAAAAGAAGACCTAGATTATGACTAAATTTCTAAGTACTCAAATCCCACAAGATCCCTAACTCAGGCAAACTTATACTAGGTTTCACAGATGAAGGGTACATTCTGATCACGAAATGAATAGTTTTAAAATGTACAGCAAACAGAGATTGTTTCATAATTGTGGAAGCAAGACTGCCATACTTTTAAGGCTCCCATCCTGCTGTTTGTTTTGTACTAATGGTGTGAAACTTACCGATGAAGCATAAACCATTTTGCTGAAGTTACGAATATAATTATCTTGAAGATCCACAGTTTTGCTACTCCTGCAGTCAAGTTTTAATAAATTCTTATTTATGTAACAAATCTTCTATGTAAATATTCAGTACACATCTTGTATGGTTTGTTTTTTGGTACGATTATTTCCAATATTGTGACATTTTTTTACTACTCGTGAATAGGTTTCTTATATACTAATGTAATGAAAATAAATATATCCACCTTATATGGGGATGTTGCGATCTTTGAGCTGGGTAGACTGGTTGTGAAGCTGCCATTGTTATGCTGAGTAACACTACTAGCAGATACTTCAAAGAGAAATGAGCTATTATCATTTTTTCTCAATCGACTAACAGCTTGTTCTTTTGACCGGAACATTTAATTGTTTGTAGTTCATAACTATGGTATTTACTTGTTTTTTTTTATTGTTTTGATTGTTTTCTCTCTTGACTTGACTCTAACCTTACAGTCGATATTTTCTCATTGGCTGATAGATTCAGTTGATTTCGATTTGTCTATTAGTTAATGATTGATTGGTACATCAGGTGTGTAAACAAATTCCCTGGCTCTTTATTTCCTCTGTCTAATATTTCGACGTTCTCCCAGTCGAACTTATGTCCTCAATTGTCCACCTGCATTCATATGAGCAAAGCTACGTTCTATTGTTTAACAACTTAGCGATATTCATGTTGATGTAGAAGAGAGTGACCATGTAGTGCCTCCAAATATATTCCAGTTCGCTCACATCTAACTTGGTTAAACCCTTTCGATTAATTTATTTAACCAAGCCATTTGTATTGCAACAATTTATGTGTACCATTCGTTCTTATTATTTTTTACACATTTGAAATCATTAATCAATCATCATTGTTAGACCACCATTAGAAACCTGGAAGCACTGGACGGCCGTTTCGTCCTAGTATGGGACTCCTCAGCAGTGCGCATCCACGACTCCTGCTCCTCGCAGGATTCGAACCCGGGACCTTTGGCATTGTAGGCGAACGCCTTACCATCGGACCACTGGGCCGGCATCCAACGGTGTTAATGTCTAACTCTGGTTTGTATGAGCTCACATGACGTGTCCCACTTGTCATTTGACCTGGTCAACTATTCGTCGCTTTTATTCATGTGTGCCTATTTCGCTTGTCGCATGTCTGTTTTATATTTGTCTGACTATATATTCTTAGTCACTCTCTATCTCTGGGACTTGGCTCTTAGCCTTCTCCAACGCGCTTCGTCTATTCATTCGCTTCCCTCGCCCATTCGTTCGCACTGTAATCCAGGGGGTTGGCTCATTAGCCTTCTCCTTAGCCATTCTTCGCGTCGTTTCATTCGTTTTATTCGCTGCTTCTCCACATCGCTTCGTATGATTCGTTTCAGTCGCTCGCCAGATGTTTCGTTCGTCTTATTTGCTGCTTCGTTCATTCGCGCATTCGCTCGCCAGTGTACACAAATGGCGAGCCCGACGTCAACAAAATTGGCCACCACAACCACTGTAGAGTGTTCGTTGCAGTTGTTACAATTTATTTTGTAGATGCTGTTTGGCTTGTTCTTCGTTTGTTGTTGCGCCATTTGGTTAGCATAATATTGCTTACAGTGGTTTTTTGGCTTATGATTTACACGTATTCTTAGTGGTCTTAATAGTATGTCTGTGATTCTGGATTTAGTCTTCATGTAGGGTAGAACTATTTGTTTACTGATCTTTGTTGTTGGTTGTGTGTTTGATCGTCGGTATGATAAGCATTTCTTAATTAAACCTTACCGGTGCAGCCATTTTTCCCAAATTCATCCATTAAATATTCTCATTTTTCTACTCTTCATGGTAATTAAGTAGATAGTTTATTACGTCGTTCTATGCAACTGTGTAGTATCATTAGCTCTCCTACTTAGAATGTGGCTCATACACAAGTACGGGGTGAATAATTTATTTAATAAATTAGTTGGACTGAGTTAGCGTATTAGATCGATGTTTAACGATGAAGTTCCTCATTTTCAAACTGGGTTATGTAATTGATTCGAATATCGGTAAAAAAGTAAGCTGTTTTCATCGATAGTAGTTTCATCTCTAATTGAATACACATTCCAGTCTGTTGTTTTAATAAGTTGTTCTTTGATATTTTATCTGTTTATTCTTTCATTCTTGAGTTATTATATAAAGTCTTCGTAAATATGTTCATCTACTGCCAAGTTACAATAGTGATAAATGTCTAATAAATATCTAGTAATATAATAAAAGATTGAGATATTTAGCAGTAACATTCAACTTGTTGGTCGCAAGATCACCAACGTTTATAATGAATGAACATGCAAACATGTACACGGTGTGAGAAATAAATAAAGTTTGAGTGAGTATATTTTATAATTGCTAATTGCATCAAAAATTTTTAAGGTATAATTCTCGTAAATCCATAGTTATATTGATCGATAATTCACGTTTATTTCAGAAGGTTTATTCATTCTCAAAAAATTGTTTGTAGTTTGAGCTGTTTATACTTAAAACTCCATAATAATTCTTTTGTTTACTTTCTATTTAGTGGGGGCAAGTATGTTGTCACAGCGTATTAAGCAACAATATAAACAGTCCACATCTCGTCTAGTTTCAAGTCTTCGTCAATCCACTAGTCATTCCTCCAGTAATATAGGTCAAGGATACACGTATTCAGTTACCCAACCAGGGGTTACAGCTACGACTTGCGTTGGTGTAACTTCAAACAGTCTTTCTGCTACAGTCATTAGTCCGTTAAATTATTCAGGGAATTTTGCTTTGCCTAGTGGTGGTAGTAGCACAACTGGACATGGGACGGCCATTTTTGCTGGAAACTTCTCAGGACACAATGGAAATTTTCAGTTAATGAATCGAGTGTCTGGGCATCGAGATGGAATATGGGAAGTTACTTCATTCAGGAGGTTTATTGCAACTGCGTCCGCTGACAATACTGCTCGTCTTTGGATTAACGATGCTCAGTTGAAGTAATAAAATATAATGATTACACTTAACCTTAATTGAATCATTGCTACTTCTCTGTTCTTGTGAATTTGTTTAATATGATATTGTTTATAGACTCAGTGCATAGTACAATACGATTGGGTAAAGAATTTAAACTTTTCTGATAATGTCTCTTTCATTTTCAAGTCCTTAAACTATCCGAATTTGTCTTAAGTTTGAGTTTAGAAATAAATTAGGCTGGATTTAGTCGTATATAATTCATAAGTTGATGAGAAGGAATTAAGCTAATTTTTAGACCTATGCAGAAGTAAACAAATGTGTACAGAAACATTAATTAGTATTTTACATGTTTAGATGTTGATATTAACGTGTGGGTTCCTCTAATTAGAGTGGTATATGGTGCTGATTGTGGGATTGATACTACAATATATTCTAGATGTCTGTTTGCCCGATCGTAGCTGCTATCTTCACGTGGTGGCCGGGTTTACCTATTGTGATGACCCAACCGAGCCATATTGGCTGGAACATATGTTCCTGTAGATTCTGCCATGCCAGGCAGGAAGATTAGAGAACGGTAAGACTATAAGTAGAAACTCAATATCTGAGGGAGAAGTCGTACTGTTGACTGTAGAGGGGTATGACAGCAGTACGGTGTTTCCCTCGGACAACCAGCATCTGCAGCAATGCTGCCTTCTCACAAGGAAGGAAGAGATTAGACAAGGTCGACCGTAAAAATATCACACATGAATTTCCGTCTCCAGTGGTAAGGCCACTTGAAGAGCTGAGCTAACACTTTACGAACTTCCCATACAAAGGCTGTGTGTCATCGTCCTCAAACAGTTGTTCCTTGGACTCTGCGGTCACGCTCCCAGTTCGCTAAGACCAATACTAATCGAATTTCCTTTTCAGGTTCCTCAAGAAGTACCTTTCCACAGTATGGGCAGTCGGAAGGTAACATCCGTTCTCATACTCGTAAGGACACACGAGATCGACCTGCTCACAATCGAATCCTTCATACACCCCCTAGCATCTTTCTTCCCTCTACAAGATATCTGTTTGTTGTTCGTGATATCTATTTCGCTAGTGCTTCTTTCCGGTGGGATAACATACTATCTAAATCAGATAGTGTGCTGTTGTTGATTATTTTTTCTAGAGTCAGTCAATCTTCTAAAATGTAGAACTTGGTACGGATGCACATCAATCCAAGTTGCCATGCTCCAGTTAGCAGATAGTGATGATGTTGTCATGCGAAATCCCAGAATAACGGAAGTAGTAACGGTATTAGTAGTAATAGGAAAGATTATTCCAGACATTATTATAATCACCATACTTTTTAGCAGAGTCTTCGGGTCTCCTGCACGAATGCCTAATCTTTAGGTCACTGAACCAAGAGACTCAGTGGTACAAAAATCAAGCTTCAGTCAGTCCATAATATTACGCAACCATCTCCCATTGTTTTAGGTGGATACCTTCGTCACATCTGACAGGATCCAGGGTCTCTTCTTGGTTGCGGGGTTATGGATGTGCAGTTCTGAGAAGTCTCATGGTAGGACGAGATGGTAGTCTAGTGCTTCCGAGTTTTTAGTAGTCGTCTAACTTAGGTTGGTTCGTGATTTCAATGAAATCCAACCATTTCTGCAATCCTATATGGACAATTCTATTTTGCCTGATACATACAATCAAATCTAGTCACTTATCAACTACACATACCGTATTTCACTTTAAGATTATCTTTAACTATCTCAACACTAAATATAGATATTTAATGAAGTTTCTCCAAAGTTATTAAATTTATCAATAACCTAAAGTCACTAATGCATTTCGGAATGTTACGTATTATTAGTTCTAATAGATGCAATCATATAAATGGAAATATTTTACATTTATTTTATGGTACCGCTGATTTAATTATCTATTTAGCATTCAGTTATTGGGTATAAATTGAAGCTTACTTCATGTGCTTTAATCTTCGCAGTTAGGTAGTATTTTTCACTCTCCCTTAATATTACTCAAAGCCACCCCAGTTTAAAGTATTAACCTCCAATTTTTAATTCTACCAACATCTCATGGTATTAAGCTTTCATTATCATAACTTTGTATACATTTATCTTTTTCTTACAATATTTATGTAATCTAGTAACAACATTTTTATCTTCATTCTTATTTATTCTAGTTGTTTATTGGTTTATATGGGCCATTCTGGTTCAGTCAATTCTGTTCGATTTCGAAGTAAAGATAATTTAATGTTAACTTCTAGTGGAGATGGAACTGCTCACCTCATTCGTTTACCATTTGATTTAATAATGAAAGCTGCAGCTTCACTTACAAGTGGAAACACATCAGGAACTACATTAGATGCTGTTGCATCGGCTCTTGCTGCAGAAGCTGCTGGAACAAGCCCTATGGGTTTAGGAATGAATACAACTTCAGGTTCGTGTATTTTTGTAGTTAAAATCCTTTTTACACTGTACAATCACTAAATGATAATAAGAAATTTAGTGTTTCTCTGTAATACCTTTGTAGTATACTTGAGAAGTTTTCAATGTTTGAACAACTCTATGAATATCAACTTTAGATAGAAGTGAACTTTTTTAACCGCTTTACTAATATCCTACCTGGTGCATCGTTCCTTAATCTTTTGTTTTATTGCAGCTTTATTAGCAGCATGTAAAACTGTATTCGCAATGACTATCTAATTAACTTACTGTCTGTTGATGTGAATATGTGTGATAATTTACAAATTTTTCACATAATTCATGTCTTTTATGGTGTGAAATACATATATCTGAGAAGTATGAATAACTGAAAATCATTTACTACAGTCTAAAGTTGTCAGTCAGTCAGTTACAGTGCAGACCTTCGTACATACGTACATCAGTTCAAGTTGCCATACCACATAAATACAAGGAGACCGAATTCCATAGTAGTAGGGGTAGTTGAAATATTAGGGGTAATGAAGAAGATTAGGGATCGCAGAAATTATTCAAAAAGTAAAATACAATGAAATAAATTTAAAAAGATAAAAACGGCCATGAGGAATTTAGAAGATTAGAATTTGAAAGAAGACGAAGAGTGAATGTACCTGAGCCATTGCAGACGATTTTGAGCCAAGTCATTCAAGGTCTCTAACCATCAGTTACTGTCATCTCGCTGACCCCAACCTAGTCTCCTTGTAGTGTCTTTCCTCCGTCCAGTAAGACGCAGACAAACAAGTGCTCGCGCTAGGGCTTGATCTGAATCTAAACATGTGCTCCAGAATGAGCGAAGTCTCCTATCGAGCCTCTCCATCGGTGGCTGATAGCGATGTGATCTAGTTGTGTCCAGCGATTAGTTGAATTTGGGGGTTGCTATACTACAAAATGTTTTTCCGTGTGCTTAAAGTTAGTATTTACCCAAAATAGGCGATTGTTTGAGCATCGTTGCGGCAGACAGTCATCATTATCTGTTCTGTTAGCCATGCCACCATGATATATACCTAGGTGTCTTCCCTTTTCTCTTCGTCTATCTACTTGAGCGTTAAAGCCACCCGCCAGTATTTCTACTTCAGAGCGTCTAACTTTTTGAAGGACGCTGGAGAGATTTCTGTAAAACCCAACTTTTACCTTATCCGACCTGCAGTCAGTGAGGAACCTGAAAAGGAACTTCGATTAGTATTGGTCTCAGAGAACTGGGAGCGTGACCGCAGAGTCCAAGGGACAATTGTTTGAGGACGATGACACAGCCTTTGTATGGGAAGTTCGTAAAGTGTTAGCTCAGCTCTTCAAGTGGCCTTACCACTGGAGACGGAAATTCATGTGTGATATTTTTAGGGTCGACCTTGTCTAATCTCTTCCTTCCTTGTGAGAAGGCAGCATTGCTGCAGATGCTGGTTGTCCGAGGGAAACACCGTACTGCTGTCATACCCCTCTACAGTCAACAGTACGACTTCTCCCTCAGACATTGATTTTGACAGTAACCTTTTCATCCATTTCTCTGACTCTTTCTTTACTTGAACACGCTGAATCTTTTGCAACCAACACTTTATTAGCACTTCAGTTTATCTACGCTTTTCATTATTTCTTCCCATATGGTACTACAAAATAGATTGATGCAACGATTTCCTGGCTAGAATTTTGTAGGTCTTACGAAAGTGCTGAAATTTCCTTTGTTTAAAACGCTGATAATATAATATGAATTTTGGGAAATAATTTGTGGCATAACTGATATAAGAAAAAAGTTCTACATGTCTATTATTTATTGTATTCTTGGCAGTAATTTTCTCGTTTGCGGCAACCCGTTAAATTAGGCTTGAGATTTGAAGCTACTGTTACTTTTTTAAGTAGTTTTGAGCGTTAGGCATCAAAAAGCTCTGATTTATTGGTTTTATTGTCATTGTAATCTATGTTCATTTTTAATTGGTAAGTTAAGATGATTTCCATAGCCTATTAGTCAATCCGTTCCTAGTATCAGGCTATCCACATTTTAAAATGTTGAATTTATACATTTTAGATTCTGTACTATCCTTTCATAACTGTCTTAAAATCTAGGAGCTGCTATCAAATCAGGGATTGATCCGGGCAGTTTGTATAACTCAGATGAAACAATGAATTTGTTGGCTGGTCCTGGAGAAGAAGGTGAGTATATTAACTAATTTTATCTGTACTTTATTTTTAATGTCATTCAACTTTATTGCATGAAATTACTTATTCATTCTTAGCTTAATTGAAATATTTTCTGTTCTTTCCATCACTGTGATAAAGGTTCTCCAGTTCGTATTGCAGCTGTTCCACCTGTCGGTGTTCGACATCCCCATGCAATATTTCAGTCTGCAAACTTATGTTTATCATCACCTGGTACAGTATGGAATTCTACTGGTGCTTTAGGATGCAATGTCATCGACTCATCACCTTTATCTGCTGCTGATTTTGTTTACGGACGGGAACAATTAGTGACTGCATCGTGGGATCGTTTAGGTAGGACGTATGATCTTTCAACTGGACAAGAGCTAGAATCACTTACAGGACACGATGATCATTTGACAGATGTACGTTGTGAACCAGGTGGATCTCCTGTTGTTGTCACTTCTTCAAGAGATTGTACATTTCGTTTGTGGGATTTTCGTCAGCCAGGAATGCGGGTCCATGTACAACAGGCTCACAGTCAGTAGGTTGTTTTCTGTATTTCGAATTTAGTGATTTATATTCTCTATCTAATTTACCTGATTTTATTTTTCCTGTCAATATTTTTTGTTTGTTTTTATTTATTCTTATTCTTTATAAAAAATTAGGACAGTTTCAACCACACAGTTTTTAGCACCTGGTTCTCCTGAACGTCTCATAAGTGCTGGTGCTGATAGATGTTGTCGTATTTGGGACTTGAGACAAAGCCGTGGTCCAGTTGTTAGCATTAGAACTGATGCAGCAATCAACCGTTTGGGTTTGTCTAGTTATCAGCCAGCAGAAATAGTTAATCCTACTTCAACTGCAATCGGATCATCGTCCAGTGAAGCTCCATCTCAAGCTACCCAACATGGGTCTGTGTTAGGTACGTCAGTTCATAGTGCTTGTCCTTCCAGTTACCCCAAGTATATTGCTCTACCTCTGGTCAATCGAGGAATAAAGCTACTTGATATAAACGGCAACAGAATTGGTCGGTTAACTAGATCATCACACGTGAGTTTTGATAATTTGTGTATATGTAGGAGTAATATTTACTGTGTTGGTTAACATGAAATTTGCCTACAGATCATGTATTACAATTGAAAGTTTCATTTTATATTGCTTGCTAAAGCTTCAGTAATGTCTACAGTTAACAGCACACAGTTATCATCTTTTATTTCTTTCTTAATGATATAAGTTCAACTTTCTTCAAAAGTGAGAACCATTAGATTGGATGCAGCATCAAAGACAGTGCAAGTCTAGACTGGTGAAGCACGCTTTTGGAGAATAAGATGGATGAATACAAAGTTAGGAATGACTTAATTCAGAATTTAAAAAAAAATTCAGAAAGTGATTTTACTTGAGCCATTTTGAATAATTTTCCTGTATTACGTAACCATTTATTATGATTAATATGGGTTCAAACCAACAAAACCACCAAAACCCGAAGTTAATATTTTTATATATTGATGGCATTTTGTTATTTGTCAATACGTAACCTTTTTTCCGACCTGCTTCTGTCAAATAGTCTTACATATTGGTGCAAGCGATAGTCGAAAATATATGGTTCTCTGAAAGTAGATGCAGCAAACATTCACTGTTACGTCCTCTGGACTGGAACTCCGAAAGACTCATCTAAGTATCGGTCTAACTTTTCGAGTCTATGAGGTATTAAGAGTCAACTCTAATGGTAGTCAGTATAATAGAGCTTGATAGTATTTAATGAATTAACAATTATTTTGTGCCTGAGGGATTCATTACATTATTTAGGATCAATAGAATAAAATATGAAAAAGTTTAGTAGTCACTTTTTAAGGGATTTTTAAATTTAAAACAAGTAATTTCTCCAATGTCTTATTTTAAGAATCAGTAATTTTTGAACTTTTCTTAAACTTGCTAGAGTTTTTTTCTGCAATTCAACCGATATATAATATGTCTAAAGTATTTGTTCAGATTTAGTCAATGAAATAAAATTATTAGATTTATTGTCTAGTCTTCTACATAATCTAGAGGTTAAGCATTAGTGAGAGAGACCGAACGTCCAGGGTTTGAATACCGAGTGCAAGGGTCACAGATGCTCACAGCTGATGAGTCCCATACTAGGACGAAACAGCCGCCCAGTCTTTCCAGGTTTCTAATGGTGGTCTAACATTGATGAATTTATGATTTCAGTGAATATTACTTAATCGTTGAGTTACACATTTATTTCGGAGTACATTGTGTTATTTTGGCAATATTGTTTATACTTAGGTAATTCTGTGTAAAAATAACTCTGAAATTGGAAGCATTTGAAAAAAATCCACTTACTACTGCTTTTCTGACAAAATTTTGTACAATTAAGACGATATTTTGTTTTAATTATTACTATTTTCTGTTTAAAACATACTTTTATATGCAGGGTCATTCTCGTATGGTAACTTGCGTTTCATGGGCTAATGAAGGTGTTCACAATCTCTTTTCAACTGGTTTTGATGGTCTCTTATTGGCTTGGCAAATTCACATTGGAAATGTTTAGGACATAAATCCTTAATATCTGTGATTTTTACTGCAATAATTCGTTAATTTTAATATTATGGCGGTTTCCTTTTCTCGTGATGTGACATAATCTGTGTATGGCTATACTTTTTACATTTTGTAAATACACTTAACACATATATTATGATACTAACTACGTGTTTACTTATGTTTTTATATTAAAACTGATTGATTTTCATTCTTAATTTCTTCTTTGTATGATTTACTTTCCCACTATCTGCTTTGTTATTAGTTAACCAAAATATTTTTGTTAGTAATGATCAAGTCAGTTTACTAATGTCGTCTTCAATGACCATCCTATTATTATTACCACTACTGTTACTATTACTCTTTCTACAATATACATTATCGTTACTTATCTCCGAACAGTTTAGCTTTTTACATATTGTTTATAAAAGTGTAAATATGTATTTATGAAATGTCCTGTTATTTAAAAAGACTGTTTTCAATATAAATAGATCTGTAATATATATATATATATATATATATATATATATATATATATGAAGAACGAATGTTGATTTATATTTACTGAAGCCTTTGTTCCATATCCACATTAATTTATCTATAATTCTTTACAGATTATTTGAACTGTATAAAAAATTGATCTTGTGAAATAGTCGCATTATTGATTATTGTATTTTGTACTTCATGGAATGGATAACAATGAAATCTATCCTATGTAGGCCGATACTCTCACAGTTTATAATCCAGTTAGGTATAAATATAGCTACAGCAGCTAAAATAAGTTGTTTTTTAAAGCTATTTGGTGAAATGTACACTTCTTGATTGATTTTAATAAGGTATTGGTAAAAGATCAGTAGTTGTAGACTATAAATGATGGTCAAAATTAGTAAAATGATTCATATTACAACTAACATATGCTTTTTTTGCGATGAGGAGCTGTACGGATACTGTATTATAAAAATGAAGCAACTTGTGGGCTAAATTTAGAAAAAACATTCTTTTGATTGACTTATCAATGAAACTATGTTTCTTGGAGTAATATGAAAGTAGCAGTGTTTGCTGCCTTTGTTGCACTTAACTTGAGTAAATTAAATCGATTCAATAGTTAATTGTCACTGATTTATTTCGTTACGTGAATAAAATGTTTCGTATAACTGTGAATGATTCATTCCTAATGTATATCAGTTTGGGACCAACTGTAATTTAGTTTAGTTGTGAAGTTGTGAGAAAATTTACCATTGAATTCTTTAGATCACTGACAAATTTTTTTTTCATCTTATTATGTACTAAGCGTTCAATGAATTTGAAGCAGAATTAAATGAATACTTGATAAGTTTATTATTAACATGATGTATGCTTGTATTCTGGTAAATTTAATCTATAATTCTGAGTCTATTAATTTATTTTAGATCACATTTCATTTTGGAAACGTTTTTGTGAAACATTTATGTACTTTAATTTGCATAACTGAGGATTGGATTGTTGTAAGATAACTTTCAATCAATCTATGGTTATTCAGTAAAAACTGATCTAACTGACTTAGTAATAAAACTTCAAGAAATACTAGCTAACTGCTCAGATTTCTAAAATTCTTGTGTTACACATTAGTGTGATCCGTGTACATATATATATATATATATATATATATATATATATATATATATATATATATATATATATATAGCATCGACATAAAATGTTGCGATTCACTTCCAGTCGTGTCCAATAATTCATGCAAAAAACGCTGCATGATAATCAGACAATATTTTTTTGTTGAGATTATTATCTTGAGAATAGTTTGTTTATTGTTGTGCAATTCTTAATAATTTGAATAATTTTAGGAATTCCATAATCCTTTGCGTATAATTCATATAACTTACGAGTTTTCAGCGATTTAATGACACCTAATCACTTGTTACATTCATTAGTATGTTCTTACAACGTTTCTAGACATGTGTGAGATTTACGAAAGAAAAAACGTTTTTTATAACTGAAGAGTGATTGTTTTGCTTGAGGCGTTAAGTAACAAATTAACTAAGGCAGTGGCGTGATAATTTAGTTAGCAATGCGAACAATTCGGTTATGTAATCTTCGATGCAAGAATTTTATCCGATAACATTTTTAAGTTGAGAAAGTGAGTGGAAATTGAATGTATGAAATTACAGTTTCTAATATTCTCTAGTGTATTTTATAATTCCGGAATTCTAAATAAAATTTAATCATATTCTTCTACATTTCGGTGAATATTCCAAGCTGACAACAGGTGCCTTTGCTGATCACTCAGTGAAGTACTGTAAAACACACATACTATCCAAGTCAAACTTTCTTGTGCATACTAGTGTCAGCGATGCTAATAACCAGGTTCTAAGTCAGTATTATAACCAATAACCGATACACTAGGTCAATCAGTCCAGTAATAAATGAACGTGATTTGTCTAGAAGTGATTTAAATTTCTAAGGGATGAGAAATACCCTTAGTGGCTGGGTTTTCTATGGGAAGTATATATATGTGTTTATGATGAGTATGTATACACTCTGATTCGGTTAAGCGAATAAAGAACTTCCTTTTCATTCACGTAGCCCGTTATTCGGGTGCATAGAATGGTTGCGTATCGAGCAGCACACATTGGGAAACTGGCCATTACCACCACCACCACTCTTCAATCACTTGATGAATAAAGTAAAAACTCCGTAGAATGTTTTTAACTCGGCCTGTAGACCCTCCGGGGCTACTACCGGTCTCAAGCCCGGATAAAGGAAGAGGGTTGGGAATTGGGTTGGCGACCCCATCCCGCAAAAAACTAACTCTCTAAAAAAGCGCTAGTAAGAGGAAATAATCCAAACCATTTAAACTCTGCTCTGGGAGTTAGGTCTTCATTTAGAGGAATTATGACGTCTCATGATGAAAGCCGAGTTCGTTCGTAAGTCACGAGGCTGATGCCCCTTCTGACAACCAGAGCCATTGGACTTTGTGGGCAGCCGGAAAGTAACATCCTGTCTCACACTCATAAAAACACACGAGAGCAAATTGGTCACAATCATATCCTTTCTCCACCTCCTAACAACCCTCTGTTGAATGTTTAACTTTTATCAACAGTTCTCACTGTATCAATATTTCTTTGAATACAAAATAGATCCATGCCTACTGTTCAATTTTAAATCAACAATTGTACTGTAGCTATAGTTTACAAATCTTCAAAATATCTCGACAGTGTACAATCGAGTTAATTGAAAAAAAATTATGAAATTCTTGTGACATATTATCAAATATATCATCGATGTATTTGATTTAGAACTGTTATCAAATTAATCCTATCACGTATAATTGTTATCAGTATATTCAAACTATGCTTGTATTTTGGACCATAATAATATCAAAATATAAACATTATCTATTAGTCAACATACAATTGGCCAATCAGTTGGCTTAAATTGATGATGAAAATCAAATTTTTATTGATTTCAAAATGTGTGTCAACTGGAAATCTGGAGTTTAGTTGTATGCTGTACCAATTAATTGAAGTATTCAATTTCAGCTGTTCAGTGTGTTCTGTTTGTTTTTAGAAAGTCAATAAAATATTTTCCGAGAAATATACCATCTGTTTTTATTTCGCAAATGTTTTCAAAAAAATTTTTTTTTTCCCGAAATATATTTTTAGAATCCTGATTGAACGAAATAGTATGCATGTATGAATATATATTCACCCATTATGTGTCAGTTCACTTCGAATAAATAAATGCTATTCAGTTTTAATAAACAAACTGTATAAAGTACTGACGGATCTTGCAGTAAATGCAATTTCATTGTATACATTTATTCTTTCAAAAAATTACTAAGTCAGTATAAAACTACTTAAAGATAATTTTCGGCTTCAGTTAATATAATCTAAATTTCGGAAAATTTTTATTTGAAAAATATACAATCAACCAACCAATAGGTCCAAAGTATTTTTAGTAAAATTCAATAAATGTCCTATTTTACCAAGATTTTTTTTTTGAAACATCCTGCTGCAATATGGGTTATGGTATAAAGAATATTCATTTCTTTGAAATTTTTTAATCCACACAAAACCATTATATCGTCAGGTTTCGTATATAAAGAAAATACGGTTTAGAAATTATATCAGTCCATTTCAGAATGTGTTGCATAAAATGCATATAAGATAAGATATTTTGTGCTACGTGGTTGAAAGTAGTCAATCGGAAATCATTAACATTAGTTATTGTAACTGAAAACGATAGTGTTTTCGCGTTCTTAAGATGTAAGATAATAAGATAGCGCTACGGCTAGAAACATTGAATAAAAATTAGGCCGTATTATACTCAGATACACTATTTATAACTAAACACTAGATTATTTAAAAACATATCAGCAGTCTACGTAATAAGTACAGTTTACAGTGAAATCAATGCAAAATATTACTTGATTTCAAAACATTTAACAACATTGAGTATTTCTATTAGCCTTTTCTTATTAATCCTCCATATCCTATTTTCACTAGACGCATCATTACTGTACGCTATAACGATTCAATTAGAGCAGTGACCATATTGAAACTTGATAAATAAAATTCTATTAGTATTGAAAGATTAGACATACATGAAGTTGGCTACTCCTCAGTGATCGATTAATTATGATGTATATATATATATATATATATATATATATATATATATATATATATATATATATATATATATATATATATATACTAAATTAGTTCCATTCAATTGAATTTAAATTCATTAATTTAGTCCCAGATTTTTTCACTGACGATGCTCATGTACGTGAGGCACGTTGCAAACATACAATTTATGCAAATGAATAATCTTGGTCGGTTTTTTTCGCATATTCATACAAGTGTTTCCCTTTTTTTTCATATAGAACGGCAGTGTTTTATTTATTGTTTTCTCTGATTAACAACTAAAGAAAAAGCTACTTTTTCTCAATTACTCATTAGTTTGACACTGATTAAAAAAAAACTCGTACATTAATATTTTTTGTCAGAATTTTCATTGTCCAAAAATACTTCTAATTTTACATTCATATTGTGAATATAATTGATGAATTTCTGTATTTGGAACTGAGTAAATTCAAGTAATCAGTTATTGAATAATGAAATAGTGTGAAAATTGGTGCTTACACTTAATCTATTGATGATGATGATGATGACGATGATGAAATAGAGATTGTGATTATTATTATTATCATTGTTTTTTTGTTTGAATACAGTTTGTCAATTTTATCATAAAATGTCATTAGATACATCATATCAGTTGGAAATCGAACAATATGCTCTGTAAAATAAAACAATATTCTTCCTGTCCTTCTTGAAATGATTTTGATTCAATAAGAATTTAACATTATTCATTGTAATGATAGAGAAAAAAAGTTTCATTAATTAAATGGAATATTTTATCAATAGTAATGATCATAATAACAATTATTATTATTATTATTATTATTACTGTGTACTACTTTATGTAAATAGTAAATATTTTAACATTTAATTCTACGATGGCGTTGAA